AAGTATAACTAATAGTATAGTTAATCAAGTAGAGAGTCATAAGTCCAATTCAATTAAACTTGTGTTTATAGGTACAAAAGCTTTCTTGCATGCTGCTATGAAAGAATTACCATATATTATTTATGCCACATTGGTTTCTATCGGTGCAAAGACTTCATGTGGCATTCCAAGCTAATATCAAGAATTTCAAGATGTATTTGAAAAAAAGAATGCGGATACATTCTCAAAACATCCTCCCTATGAATATTCAATTGACCTTCAAGAAAGAGCACAACCGCCATTCAGACCAATATATAGTTTATCACAAAATAAGTTGACTGAACTCAACGAGTATTTTGAAGAAAATCTAGCCAAGAATTTCATATGCCATTCTAAATCTCCGGTAGAAGCTCCAATTCTATTTGTGAAGAAAAAAGATTGATCATTGCATATGTGTGTTGATTATCCACGACTCAACAAGATTACCATCAAGAATAGGTATCCACTACCTTTAATATCTGGACTTCTTGATCAACTAAATCAAGCTAAGATCTATACAAAAATAGATCTTCGGGGAGCATACAATCTAGTACGCATCAAAAAAGGAGATGAATGGAAGACTGCGTTTCGAACTAGGTATGGACATTTTGAATACAACGTCATACTTTTTGGGCTTACAAATAAACCAACAGCTTTTCAACATCTAATGAATGATATTTTTTGAGAATTTTTGGATGATTTTGTGGTTTGTTATCTAGACGACATCTTGATCTATTCTAAGAATCCAAAAGAACATAAACTTCATGTTCGTCGTGTGTTACAAAAATTAAGAGATGTGAGATTCTATACCAAGATAAAAAAGTGTGTATTCCACACTACTCAAGTCGACTTCTTAGATTACATCATTTCAAATGATGGACTTATGATGGATCCTAAGAAAGTTCAAACTATTATAGATTGGAAGATCCAAAAACGGTAAGAGATGTCCAATGCTTTTTGAGATTTGCCAACTACTATCGGATCTTCATCAAAGACTTCTCTCGAGTTGCAGCTCCACTTATAAGTTTGACTTGTAAAGACAAACTGCAATGGAATCAAGAAGCAAAAGTTGCTTTTGAATCTTTGAAGACAGCGTTTATTTTTGCACCAATCTTATATCGTGTTGATTTTTCCAAAGCGTTCTTTATGGAAACAAATGCATCAGACTTTGCTCTAGGTGTGGTTTTATCACAAATGGGAACAGATGACAAACTTCATCTAGTAGCCTTTCATTCAAGAAAATTCTCAATAGTAGAAATCAATTATGAGATCCATGACAAAGAACTTCTTGTAATTTTGGATTCTTTTCAAGAATGGCGTCATTATCTAGAAGGCGCTTCTAATCCAGTTACCGTGTATATGGATCACAAGAACCTCGAATATTTCATATTAGCATGCGTATTAAATCGTCGTCAATCTCGTTAGAGCATGTCTTTATCAAGATTCGAGTTCATCATTACTTATCAGCTAAGAAAACAACAAGGTTTGTCCGATGCCTTGTCTAGACATTCTTATCTTGCACCAAAAGAAGGAGATGTAGCTTTTGAGCAACAAAGAATGATTCTCTTGAAGCCGGAGCAATTTCATCTTCGAGTAATAAAATCAACATTGACTGTTGATTTAACTTTTCTCAAGCAAGTCTAATTAAGTATGTCTTCAGACCCTCTTATTCATGATATCAAGAATAATTCTTCTAAATCTCATGATCCCTCTAAATTCGAATTCAATAACAACCTACTCTATTTCGAAGGACGCCTATATGTTCCAGAAGGAGAAGCACGTTTATGTATTCTTCAAGCTCATCACGACTTCCCAACAGCAGGACATTTTGGATACAATAAGACTTTGGAGGTGATATCTAGGGATTTTTGGTGGCCTCAAATGTGAAAGGCAGTCAAAGATTTTGTACAATCATGTGATGTTTGTTCAAGATCAAAAACTCCTCGTCATCTACCTTTTGGACTTCATCAGCTATTATCCATTCCAGAAAAACCATGGTCTTTTGTTTCTATGGACTTCATCACAGATCTTCTAATCTCAGGTTCTTATGACTCTATATTTGTGATAGTAGATCATTTTATCAAGATGATACATTTTGTACCATGTACAAAATCTATCACATGTGAAGAAACAGCTAAGTTCTTTCTTGACAGTATCTATCGCTATCATGGATTACTCAAGGATATTATATCAGATAGGGGAACTCAATTTGTATCAAGATTTTGGCGGACTCTTTTCAAGATTCTAAAAGTGGATATAAAACTATCTTCAACATTCCATCTTCAAACTGATGGACAAACGGAGCGTGTTAATCAAGTTTTGGAGCAATATTTAAGATGTACCATTAACTACTAATAAGATGATTGGACAACTCTTTTGCCATTGGCAGAGTTTGCTTATAATAATATGATACATTCTTCTATAAAAAAAATACCTTTCTTTGCTAATTATGGTTATCATCCACGACTTCATATTTTTGACTTTTCAAAAGTTGATAATCCTGCTTCAAAAGATTTGGCGATTCATTTATCAGAGCTACATACAACAATGAAGGTGTAGTTAAAAGAAGCTCAAGAACAACAAAAGGTCAATGCGGATGTCTATCGAAAGAAATAACCACCATTCTACTTGGGTGATAAGGTATAGCTACTTCATCGCAATATCAAGACTACTCGTCCTTATGACAAGTTGGACTATCGAAGGCTAGGACCATTTTCTATTTCTGTACAAATCAATCCAGTCGTATATCGTTTACATCTACTAGAGTCAATGAAAATCCATCTAGTATTCCATGTATCTCTTCTTGAATTATACAAGTCAGTGGACATATGAAGAAGACGACAAGCTCCACCTCTTCCTATAAAAGTGGACAATAATGAAGAGTTTGAAGTAGAAGAAGTCTTAGATTCAAGGCCGCGCCAAAATAAATTAGAATATCTTATCCATTGGCGCAGATATGATATTAGTGAACGTACATGGGAGCCAGTAAAAAATCTTACAAATGCAGCAAAGGCGGTGGAGGCTTTTCATTGACGACATCCATCAAAATCAAGATGAAAACCTTCTTTATAAAAGAAACAACATCTAGGCAAGATAACATTCTACTTTCAATCTTTGTTTATAGCTTCTTTGTAGTTGTCACGCTTGGGAGATGGAGAACCAACAACCAGCGGATTCGACTCAAGAGCCTTCATTTGCTGACCTGTTGAACTAGACATTACGATTGTCACAACCTTCAAGACGATGCAATTGAGATTAAGATCTTTAAGAACGACATGTTCTTCCTCGAATAGATGGTGAGATACAACGCGTTTGGTATCATGACTTGGGAAGGGACTCCCGATGTTTGGTGATTTTATTAGATGTAAGAACAACTTTTGATGGTGTTTCAAATGTTCTATTTGAAGGAAGTTATGAAGGCCTCAACAATGATCAAATAATTGGGTGGTCTTTCCGCCCTGGTATGGGACACTACCGATGGTTGAGAGGCCCTATCAATCATCTTCGAAGAGAACAAAGATCAAAATATGTGGCAAATACAATTTGTTGCATGATAGATTTCCTCAACATATGATAACCGCTCCTCGTAGAACTCGTCTCTAGAAGAGGGGGTAATGTCACGGACATATTCATGTAAGCCAATAATTATATATATAAATAGGTAGAAGTAAGTAAAAGTAGATAAAAGTAAGTTAATTCTATAGTATTTAGTATAATAGCTTCTTAGAAGCTTCATAGACGTTGCTTTGACTTTATAGGTGTCTTTAATTGACTTTTTGGATTAGAAACGTGGTCAACAAGTTGGCAATGTGCCACACATGTTGTTAACTTGAAGACCAAGCTAACAATGTGGCCCATATGTAGAAAAACTTGCCTTGTAAGTCAAGGCATGTGTCCTACAAAGTCAACACTTATTGGAGGTATTATAGAATGTCGCCGCGTAGCCCCTAGTTAGATAATATATATAGAGACAAGAGTGAAGCCTTCTTCACTCTTGTCAACTCTTTTCTTGCTTCCAGTCTAGCTTCAAGGATCTCTAGTTTTCTTAACTTTTGGCAATAGCCATTCTAGTTTTTCTTTCAATATACATATTTATTTATTTATATTTTGCTACCTTTCTTTGAGTGAAGGCTCACTTGTCTGAATTACTTTTTCATCGAGTTCTTATCCTTGACAGGTAGAATACATGGCATTATCAACAATCGCAAGGAAATCCGCGTAGCTGAAAAATTTAATACAAGATGTGGGACTACAAATCTACAAACAAGGTCCAATCCATTGTAATACAAAGTAAGCATGAGAATAGAAAACTACCTAGACATCAATCCAATGACAAAACATATTTTTTACACTATTATTTTATTAGAGAATGCATACTAGTTTCAACCACACCCACTAGACTATCCACCAAACTACAGCCCTCACATGGATCAGGAAATGACAACCATACTGAGAGGTCAGATGTTTTAACCTCAACAAAACCAAACTAAGACTTTGTTGTCTCTACCTTCTCAGACAACTCTTAAGCTAAAACAATTACTCCACAATAACAAGTCAAGATGCGAGGAACAATGACAATTTGATACAAGTTTAAACATTTCAAGAAACTCCAAAAAAATCACTTGGACACAAATATAAGTACCACAAGAGAACTTAGAATCAAGAACAATGGAACCAATATCACTATAGTTACAAGGATCTCCATGATCAACCAATCATATATATATATATATATACATAATACCTTGTATGAACTCTTGTCCCAGTTAGTGTTGATAAGCTGACTCAGCAGTTCACAAGGTCACTCAAGCCACCTTGGAGTAATGGGGGGTGTTGGAAATTACTCCGTTAACAGAAAGTCTAGATTCCTCATCCTTCACAAATGGAGCCCGTAGTAGGCCACTCTGTAATCTCAGTATATTGAGATTCTCTCTGTACCTGCAGTGTTAAGTAATATATCTTGTTTTGTTTATGTTGCTCTCATTCTATCAGTCACTATTCTGCTGTCGACGGGATTCATGCGCAGAGTGCAGGACGATTGCAATGCAGAGCTCTCTGTCTGCACGGGGTCTGTCAGGCACATTTCGACATCCTATCAACTCATGCAGGATTCACTCCCCTCAACTTCATTCCAGCTGCTGATCATGGAAGCATCTTCAAGGTAGCGGCTGCCATTGAGTCACGGTTGCGTTCCTCGCCGATCCCTAACTCTAATACATTCCAGCACTGAGAATCAAGTGGCATGAGAGTGTTGGAATAGTTTGTTGCCTTGACACACATCTTGCGGACTGAAAGCAATATTTCACCTTGGCTCTCCTCGACGGCGACCGCTCGTCATGGGTATGATGGACTTTTTGACACACAGTTTCTTCATGGAAGTCTTGTTGGTTGGCTCATGATGTAGTTCCAACGAGTTCAAACAACATATTATTCAGTTCGTTTGTTCTGCTAATTCTAGCCTCATCATGTTGTTTGTAACCTAAGGTTGGTATCCATTCAGATATCTATTCTGCTATTTGTGAAATTTCGAATGATTTGTCAACTCCTTGCATTTCGTCCTACGGCAGGGATCGATGAGGTCACGGAATCGGTTCCTCGAATGCGCATCATATCTTCAAAGACGTCCATTGTGTACCTGGAATTTCCCGCGGAGCTCCATGTGTTATCCTGCTCCATCTGCGATAACTTTGTCCGTCCCACCCATGTGCGCACTCTGTATCTCTACCGAGAGACTTCTCCCGGTGCCAACGAGCATGTGACAACCAGGCTGAAAGCAGCCCTAGCCAAGCTCTTGGTGGTGTTTTACCCCATGGCAGGGCGGGTCCGGCGAGCGGAGGGGAACATCGGGTACGAAATCCACTGTAACAATAAGGGAGTGGTGTGGGTCGACGCCGAAGTGGATGGTACCATCGACGACTTCGAGAACTTCCAGCCAAATTACGTCTTCAACAAGTTATTAGTGCCCACGGTGGACTACTCCGTGAGCATCGAATTCCAGCCCGTGCAGATCATTCAAATCACCAAGTTTCAATGCGGCGGCTTCGCGCTGGGAATGGCCAACCATCACACCGTCGCCGACGGCATCTCTGCTCACAACTTCATGGCGTCGTGGACAGAACTGGTCCGCGGGGAGCAGATCTCGCAACTGCCTAACTACGACCACCACCTGCTCTCTTCAATGGGACGTGCCAAGCCCGACACTTGTCCCAGAGAGCTCCGGCTCCGACCCAAGGTAATGGAGCCGCCGCCAACGCGCAAAATGGTGGAGAGGTTGTTCACCTTCACTCCCGAGATGCTGAAGAAGATCAAGGCCGAGGCTCTAGGTGACGGAAGTTTGGGCTCATTCACCACTTTCGAAAGCCTGTCTGCGCACCTCTTTAGAGCGGTAATCCGAGCCAAGGGCTGCGCTGATTCGGAGGAAGCCAGATTTTTCACCACTATGGACGCCAGAAAGCGAATCAAGCCCAATTTGCCGGAGGGCTACTTCGGCAACGCGATCATCTTCACATGCATGCCTGCGAAGGTCTGCGACATCCTGGAGAAGCCTCTGTCGTTCTCAGCGCAACTGGTTCGAGAAAGTGTCGTGAAGATGACGGACGAGTATGTAAAATCTTCCTGGGCGTGGTGCGAGGCGCAGGAGCATCTCACCATGAGCTCCATCAACCTCATGGGTAACGACATCTCCTCCGCGGGTTGGTTCCGGATGCCATTCTATGATACCGACTTCGGGTTCGGGAAGCCAGTGTTTGCAGGACCTGCTGACAATCCCTATAATGGCTGCATTCTGATGCTGCCCAGTCACATTGGACCTAAAGCTATCAATGTATTCATGGCGTTGTGGAGAGAAGACATGGAGAGGTTGATGGCAGACAGCGATTTTCTCGTGACCAGCCAAGTGAATCGATCCAATATTTCCTGTGCAGAGTAGCTTGATGGTTCCCCACAAGTTTCACGATGCTTCCCTGCGTTATCATTCTGCATGAATCTGCCGGTAGTGGTAGAATGCTGTTAGAAACTGTCCATGCTCGGCATACGAAAGGCGTATAATTATAAGGCTGGCTATACACAACTACAACCAGAACATTCTACTTCCCATCTTCTTAACAATGGAAGCATGCTAACAAACTGACGACTTTTCTCCATTCAATGGTTTCGTGTAATCTAGACAGGTATGCAGCATGTGGTGGCTTTGTCGCGCTCCTCGCATTGTGCATAATAACACTAAAAACGAATCCTGCCACTATTGGCATTCAGCATATGAAGAAGAGAAAATTTTAAATTACGTATATCGTACGAATAGAGAAATTAAATAAAATACACCTGTGCAAAGCGATGCATTCTTCCGTGTGTTCCTTCTCGTAAGGACTAATGGTATCTTGTCTATCATCGCTCAATTTGGGAGCTCAAACTCATTGGTAGCTTTTACAGGCAATTATCCATCCGTATTAACAATGTAATTGGAATGCATGGCAAGAGTAATCTTGATGTGGACCATCCCTGTGGGTCCTCTCACAGGAAGGAAGACCCCTACACCAGCCTTCAATCCGCACATTTTAACCAATCCAACCTACGTTTAAATACTACGTCAACTTACTCAACAATGGCCGTAGCGGAATAGGTACCCAGCTGCTACCTGGTACTAGAGGAATGCAAAACCCAAATGGCTTCAGATCATTATAATAAACCCTAAACCTTTAATCCTGTCTAATTGTTCATAACTGATTTTCTTAATCCTGTCTAATTTTTCATAAATGATTTATTTTATTTTATTATTATTATTATTTTTTAATAAAAAGAAAAGCCCAAACCTTAACCATGCATCCCTTGTACCAATCTATTAGGGATCACTGCACCAATTGGTTGCTAGTCACTGAGCTCATTGACACCTATATCAATTAGTGCATGGATGATGAATGGATGAATTAAAAAGGTTAGAGTGTGAGTTATATCTATTAGTGTATGGATGATGAATGGATGAATTAAAAAGTTTAGAGTGCAAGTTGGGTACCTATGTTGCAAGATCACCAAGACTCTTTAAATTAGGGCTTTCCTTGAAATACCTAATTTAGTTTATTTTAAAATTGTGGCCAGATTATATTTTAGATAAATTAAGAATGGATGAAATTCATCTCTATAGTTGTCTAAAAACATCCATCCTTATTAAGTTTGATAGATTCTATCAAATTTTTTAGAATACAAGATACTCTTAAGCAACAAATTCGTGAGGCACTTTTGATAGTTATCCTTTTTCCACACCATCATGAAAAAGTCAAATTTGATAGTGCTTATGTTAGAAAAATGGAAGCCAACCTACCACAAAAAATTTGAAGTTGTGGAAATTAGCCATTGCAATGAACCTATTTGATATGAAATTTTCTTTGGAAATTGAAGCATTTATCAATAGCATCCTTAAAAGTCATCTCCTTGTAGTAAACACACACCATGGCTATTATGGATATATAACTATTATAAATATTATATAAATAATATAAATAGATAGAAATAGGTAAAAATAGGTAAAAGTAGATTAATTTTATAATACCTTTTAAAAAAACTTCCTAAATGTTGTATTGACTTTACATATGTTTGTACTTGATTAATACATTAGAAACTTGGTTAACAAACTAACTATGTACTACATATGTTTGTAGCTTGTAGAAGAAGCTAATTATGTGGCATCTATATAGAAAACTTGCCTTGCAATTTAAGATATATGTTATGTAAAGTCAATATATTTTTGGAGGTCCTATAAAATGTTGCCACATAAATCCTAGTTAGATAGTATATATAGAGGCAAAAATAAAGCCTTCTTCACTCTTATCAATTCCTTTCTTGCTTCTAGTCTAGTTTCAAGAGTCTCTAGTTTTCTTATCTTTTGGCAATAGCCATTCTAGTTTCCTTTATAATATATATACTTCTCTATTTCTATTTTTTCATATTTCTTTGAGAGAATCTTACTTATATATTTACTTTTATCAAGTTCTTATCCCTGACAGATTGACAAGAGTATACTTATAATATCAAAGATTTATCTTTTCTTAATTAAGAGTAGATTATCCTTTTTTCTTTATAAGACTAAAGCATACTAGGAGTTTCGGATTATCCTCTTTTAAACTAATATTATCTTTAGTATTTTTTATTTTATTTTTTTCAAAACTTTTCTTCTATTTGTCTTGAGTAATATTAGACATATTTTTTTTAAAGTGTTATCGTGGCAGAGATTCTTGAAATGAAGAGTGCAATGGTGTAAATACAAGAGCAATTGAGGAAGTTAATACATGTGATACATCAACTCAATTTATTGCCACAAAAAGCAACAAGAATGATAGGAAATAAAGGTATAGAAATGGTTGGAATTGCTTCAATATCTGTACCAAATCATGTCCATTTTTCTATGATGGAACATCCTTCTAGTGTTAAAGAATCAAAAATTGCACTATTCATGAAGTTTGATAGCACAAGATCCAAGTTTCAAGGATTTATTAACTAAGTATACTTTGTGATTGAACTTCAACTCCAAAGCTATTCAATTCTTGGATCACAAATTAGATTAATTAATACATTCCTTTCAGATTTAATATTATCATGGTTTTCATCTTTTCTTGAACAATGAAATCCAATATTGGATAATTTAGAGGCTTTTTTTATAGAGTTTTGATTCATGTATAGAAAGCATGATATAATTTGAGTTATAACCAATAAGATCCATATTTTGTGACAAAGAAATGGATTAATAATATTATATGCTTCATAGTTTTAACAACTTGCAATTAATATTAAGTGAGATGATGTTGCATTTGTTAGCCAATTTTTTTATAGATTACAGTATGAGGTAAAAAAATTGATGCTCAACTTACTTGATTCTCAAACATTGAGTCAAGCAATTGACTTTGCTATAGAATGTAACAATTGACTTTTTCAATTTTGATCTGAAAGTCACATAAGTGCACCTCAATGTCACTATAATTTAATGACAATGCCAATGTCTTCTCAATATATACATTCAAAAGTAGAAGATATATAAATTCTTCATTAAAAGTATGCCTTGTTAGATTTAAGAGTTTTAATGTGTTTCTTAGATGAAGAATTTGCTAAAAAAATATAACATACTTTTAATGAAGAAAACTAAACCTATTCATGTAAAAGTCATAGATAATCATCTATTGTCTTCAAAAAATATTATTCTTAAAATCCTTCTTATAGAGATAACAATTAATGGATATAATAGCTTTGTGATATTTAATATCATTAGATCTCCTTCTAATCCAATCATTTTAGATTTATCAAAGCCAATATAAAGATTTTCAAGATGTATTTGAAAAAAAAAATGTGGATACTCTACCAAAACATTGTTCCTATGACTACTCAATTGACCTTCAAAAAGGAGTTCAACAACCAATGTTGGAGTAGAGAGAATTTGCCTTAAATAAGTGTTGGACTTTTAATTGTTACTAATATTTCAACCAAGCCTTAAGATAAAAATAAAAAAATAAAAAATATAGTCTATATATAAAATTACCCTTGTAGGGGCAATTACATTAATATATAAGCCTTAAGTACCAAAGATCACCAAAAATGTGATAAAAATATTATAAAACCTTGTATATCTTTAAGGTGAATTTTTTCCAAACTTCAGCAGTTCATATCTTACGATTGGACCATCCAAAAAAATCAAAATTTTATATGAAGTACTAATATATTTTTAATAACTACTACAACAAATTTCAACTATAAATTCATCATGAATCTTGAAATATTGTCAAAACCCTAATAGTAGCTACAAACTCTTACTTTCATATACTTATATGTAAATTTCTTCATATCTCACAAATTAAGTACTCAAATATTATAAAACTTTAATATATAGCTTTTTAACCTAATAACACATACTTTTAAAAATTTTGAGCTAAAAATTCATTTAGAAACTCAAGATATGGCTCCAACTATTACTATCAACAAAATGACTCACTTATTGCTTTTGAATTACATGTGCTATCTTCAATACTCTATAACTTCTTCATACAAACTCTGAATGCAAAAATTCTTTTACAAAAGATGTAGATTTTAAAATCATCCTTGTGGCCATATCTTTTTATTTCCAGAATATATCATAAAATTCCTTGCATTCTCAAAAGAACAATAATATGTCTTAAAAAGATACGTGAATGCTTATGGGCATGGCTTTTGAACAATAGGAATGAAGATCTTTACTATTAACCTTCTTCCATCTATACCTTACTTTCATCCCTTCAAATAATTTTTTTAGAGGTTTAGGTCTTCATCTTTGAGCACCAATCTTCTCCTTAAATTTTATACTAAATATCTAAATCTTATATAATTTAAACACTATAATCAACACAGATAAACCTCAAAATAAATTTTCTTACATTTATTCTCTTTAAATTAATCTACTAAATATTCTAAAGTATATGAATATTTATAAATATATTATCTATTTTAATTAATTTTTATATACTATAAATAATTATAATATAACATTATTTGGACCAATTTATAATTTATCACAAAATAAGTTGGTTGAACTCAAGAAATATATTGAAGAAAATCTAGTCAAGAACTTAATATGCCATTCCAAATCTCTAGGAGTAGCTCCAATATATTTATAAAGAAAAAAGATAGATCATTGTAGATATATGTTGATTATCAAAGATTCAATAAAATCACCATCAAAAATAGGTATCTGCTATCTTTAATATCTAGAATTTTTTATCAGTTCAATCAAGGTAAGATCTATACAAAAATAGATCTATGAGGAGCATAAAATTTGATACACATCAAAGAAAGAAATGAATGGAAGACTACATTTTGAACTAGGTATAGACATTTTGAATACAACGTTATCGGAGTAGTGAGAGTATGCTTCAAGGAAGCATTGGGCTTCTTGATGTCACTAATTGCTGAATCAAGTCTTGAGATAAGAAAGACCAAGTTTACATATAAAATTTCCGTTTTTTAATAATTACACCAAATATACAAGCCTCAAGTAACCAACAACATCTAAAATATGATAAAATCCTCTAAAACCTTGTATATCCTTGTGTAGAAATTTTCTTCAACTTCAACACCTCATATCTCTTAATTCAATTGTCCAAAAAAACTTAAATTTTACTTTAGGTATTTATATAT